CCACCTATCTAGTCATTTCAACCATTCTAGGCAAATGCAAATAGCCATTGAGAAGCAGACAGGCAGGACATACCATGTTTCCCCGAAAATAAGACAGGGTCTTATATTAATTTTTGCTCCCAAAAATGCATTAGGGCTTATTTTCAGGGGATTTTTTTTTCATGGACAACAATCTACATTTATTCAAATACAGTCGTGCCATCTTCTTCTGGTTGCTGCACAACGGTGGAGGGCGGGCTTTCACTTAACTAAGGCTTAATTTTGGAGTGGGGCTTATATTACGAACATCCTGAAAAATCATACTAGGGCTTATTTTCAGGTTAAGTCTTATTTTCGGGGAAACAGGGTACATACATACAGTATTCGTGGGGGAAAGTTTTCAAGTTTAAGTCTTATTTTCGGGGAAACAGGGTACGTACATACCGTATTCATGGGGAAAAGGTTTCAAGCCCCCTGTGGATGCCTGATAGTAGCAAATCAGTTAAAGTGGGTGAGAGTAGGAGGGTGAGAGTAGGAGGTAAGTGTGTGTGTACATTCAGCAGGGGGTGGAAGTCAATGGCCGTACAGGCCCCTTCCAACTCAATTATTCTGTGCTTCTATGAACAGCAAACCAAGAACAGATACAACTGCTTGCAGCAACAGGCCTCAATAAACTACTTGATTCTGACAGACTAAAGAGAGGAAAAAAGGCAGAGAAGAGAGGCAAGGATCTCTTTGAATCAAAGGCAGGGAAGTAACGATAGTGCTGTTAGTGATTAAAGTCACCCCAGCCCAGAAAGGCCCCTCCCAGCCACACCTACTAGAGGCAGCATGTGAGGCTAGGAAAAACTCCAGCAGTCAGGACAGTAAAACAGGTTGAACCATGGCACAATCCTCATTAAAATGAAAGAGGAGATTTCAGGAGATTTTCTTGGTGGGTTTTATCCCTTACTTCACCTTGCCTTGTAGTAATACTTTAATTTAAACTCATCTTTTTTTTAATCTCAGTACCTTCTCTTCAACCACCTGCACCACCATCAATTAAGCAATTTTCCTGATTTTACATCTTTCACCTTTTTGTGACATCAGATTTAACTTTGATGGCTCGAAAAAGAGATTTTACTGCTTCTGAAAAAGCTGCACAACTTTTTTTTCTTTTGCTAGTTAAACATACAAAATGTTCTTTGAAGCTCTTGTTCACTGGCAGATCCTCAGATCATTTAATTAAACTCATTCTACCAGTAGCAAGATCAGTAGCCAAAACCATGAAAGGAATATAAACTGAACTCACTACAAAACACACTCATTTGTCTTTGATTTGCTGTGAGCTCTGTTGATAAGCACATTTATACAGTTTTATCACTTTTCTGTACTGGGTGCTGACCGTTTTGACTGGGGGACCTGGAGAATTATAGTTCAAAACCTTTTTAAGCTCTGCCCTTAACTTTGATTTGTTGGAATGTGTTTGGTGTTCTTCAGAAAAGTAGGTTCACGTTGAACCAAACAAATTTCCTTTCATTTAAATAGTACCCAGCTGTTGGAAATGTCGGAAGTCTGTGATTACCCTATTACTGTACTGTGAATGTGCTATGTTGAATTTTGAACAAATTCCAAAAGGAGATACTGAATAGTCCCCCAAAATAATTTTGTATGATAAAAGGTTCCCTGCACCCTCTGTAGGGTACATTGGGTGGTCTTTCATTCTGCCAGTGGGGGAAAAAATTCAATCTCCAGAATAGTTCCAGAAAAAGTGCACTAGGAAAAAGGTGATTAAAAATGCCAGAACCCTTCCTATGACTTGTATATTAAAAACAAATATTCTTCTCTAAAACAGTATCAACTGACCTACTGTGGTTGAGGACAATCACTTTCCAATACACACAGTTTCTGAAAAAAAAGAGTGACATTTAGCATGCGGGGAGGGGGGAGCACTCTTTTGCTGGAGTAATAGCTAATGAAACTCCATTTTAATGAGCACTCAGACAGAAAGCTCCTGTTTTTTTGTTGGTGCATCAATCCACATTACTTTGAGAGAGCAAACCCGTTGTGAAACACGTTGCATTCTCTAGCAATTACTTACACTTCTGTACGCCTGTTAAGGGCTGAAATGCTTTCTGAAGGGAAGGGAATGCTCTGCTGCTCAACGTTGACATATGACTGAATTGCAAATGGATGGTTCAGCATCCGAATCAGACGAAAAGCTAAGTCACAACAATTTCTTCTCTCCAAAAGTTGTCTAGAAGGAAAATGGAGATTATTAAATGATCAACCTGACAATAATCTTTCCCACATTGAAAATGACAGCTTAATCCTTGAACAAGCATTGGTAGTCATGCCCACCCTCCCTAATAGCATAGAACATTTTTTAAAGCTTAGAGCATTTCATTTTTAATCCTTGTGGTAAGTATACAAGGTCAGTTAGCATTATTATCTTCATGGGCACATGTAGAGTGAGAAGTCAACTGATTGGCCTGTGACCACCAATTGAGCTGATGGCTAAAGCAAAATATAAACTGCCTTATAGTTACCACACTACAACAATGTTCTTCAGAGCCCAGAAAGTTGGGTGGTGTTTTCTTAATTAAAATGCATCTATAGTGCATCTAGTGTCATCTTGTATACTCCTGGGACAGGCAAAGTGTGGCCTTCCAGATGTTGGACTGCACATTCCAGCAGCCCTGATAGCAGAACCCATGGTGAGGAATGCTGGGAGTCGCAGACCATCAACATCTGGAGGGGCACACTTTGCTGAGCCATTGTCTACTGTGACAAGTAGATGTTCTCGAAGGTTTCAGATAAGAGTCTTACTGATAGATGCTAGACACAGAATCACTGGCCTTTTCTACGTAAAGCACATGTTCTTCCCCTGAGTAAGGTGCTTCCTGAAACAAGTGGTGGAGAGAAGGTGCATCCAGAATTATTGATAGAAATTCAGGTGATTTGCAAGAGATCAGTAAGGGGTTCTGACTCCTCATTCTTGTTTCCTACAACAGCAGCAACAAAATACGAGATGTGCCCCTTAAATTAAACAGTCAATCAGCCAAGAGAAAAAAAGTATGTTTGAGGGGCATATAGGCTCAATTCTGAGTTAAGTATAAACTGTTCCATAATATTAAGTGAATGTCCTTTTTCCCCTGCAATCCTTTTAAAGTTTATCTAGAAATAAGTCCTATTATATTGAAAGGGATTTATATCTGAGAAAGCATGCACAGGATCAGATTGTGTTTGAAGTAAGCAAGCATCAGTTGCATAGCTGGCACCCAGTTTGTCAAATTAACTAGAGTCATCTCATCACATCCACATTATGGAGCTGATATTTGAGTTAAATGTATTAATAGGTGGAGAAATTGAACTATTCAAAAGAATCATCCAGATGCAACAGTAAAGTGAATGTGTTACCATGATGTTATGTTTCAAGAAACGTAACAAATTGCAGTTACCTTTTATAGGCATAATCATTTAATTTCACTGGCTTAATTTAACAAAGAGGTCGTTAAATCGTGTGCTATTGATTCCAATTTGTGGTGACCCTAGTAGAGTTTTTGAGATACGTGAGATATTCATGGTGTGGTTTAACATTGCTACATACGCACCCAATAAGTTTCTATGGTGGAGCAGGAATTCGAACTTAGGTCCTCTGAGTCCTAGTCCAACACTTTATCCAGTATACTGGATTTCTAAATCCTTTGTACAGAATACTATTACAGCTGGAATGTCTCTGATTGTCAAGGCACCCTTTTCTGTCAAGGTCAAGAAAATTTGTCAATATCCGTTATATAGGAAATCTGACATAGACTTGAAGGATGGAAAGGTCATGTAATGGTCATCACAGAGCAGCTGAATGATCTGGGTTAGGCATCCCTTGTAGATATTTTATCTGGACAGGAGGGTGGCAAGACTCATGAGATAGTGTTGGGTTGCAGCTCTCCCTCGGCTGTGCTGGCTAGGACTGATGGGAACTGAAGTCCAGTGACATCTGTAGGGGCATGTAATTGCCATCTCTGTCAACTTCTGAAAAATTGCAAAATTATTTTCAATACAAATTTGCAACACCAACGGACATTTTATACACTACACCCCAGTGTAAACCACTTCTGTACCTAGGAAACCCTGAAAAGGGTTCCAGTAAGTCTGAACTGACTTGATGGCACACAATTATTATTAATTAGATGTGGGAAAGGCTTGTGAAAATTGTTCTGTGCCTGGAAAACATCCCTTAGTCTCTGGCCCTCCTTTGGGGTGCCGTGTCTGTCAATGACCAGAGGAGCCTTGTGGTTTTGACACAAATTATGAAGTACAATTATCAGGTTGTTGTGGAACTCTAGAAACAAAAATGTGTCAAAAATGTGTTCCTCTTTAATTGCAGTTTTAAAAATGTACACAGTACTATTTTATTACTAAAAATGCTTTTTAATTTTACTGTAAATTAATTTCCCTGCTATACTTATTCATTCTTTATTTTTGCAAGGGAAAGCAGGACTTTGCTATTACTGGTAGTTGGGATTTCATAATTCTTTATCCAAAACTCCATGGGAAGAACATGTTTCTAAGCCTCGTTGTGCAGAAGGAATGGGAGGGGGGAGAAATGAAAATTTAAACAACTACTACTTTATTCTGAACTATTCTTTTACCCAAGGTGACCTGGGAACACTGAAGTGCATTAAGTATTCATTTTCTCGAACAGCTTGCGGCATTGTCTTTGATCCGCCTCAAACCTTTCTACAAAATAGAACCAATTATGTACTTGGGGTGGGTTTTAAATGACATCCTTCCCCCCTTAATGGCTTTGAAATATAGGAAGAAGTGCTTGTAGTCAGAGCATTCGGAGATGAACAAATGTTCAGGGAAAGTGGAATAGTGAGATGGAAGTGGAAAGGGATAACCTCTCTATGAAATAAAAAAGGACTGTGGAATTCCCCCTCCCCCCCCCAATATAAGTGTGATTCTGGCTTCTTTGCCAATATGGCGTAGATTGGCAGAGTTGCTCAAGAAAAATAGAACCAGGCTTTGGTGAGGGAGGCTGTGTTTTTTTAAATCAGTTGAAACAGGACTTTGAAAGAAAAGCTGGTTTTTTACCTGTCATAAAAAAAGGAGGGAATGAAAAAGATTTTTTTCATTAAAAATTGTTAAATTAAAAAAAATTCAGGAAAAATATTTTGAGAGCAGAAACAGCCCTCCAAGGTGGTGTTAACATGTGCTGTCTTTGGACCTCTGCAAGTTACTTTTCCTGGGCTACAGTTTGTAAAACGGACACTAGACTTAGAAACTCTTTGTTTGTTTGTTTTGTTTGTTTGTTTACATAATCTTGGCTTTAATTTGTACCTCTACAAAGCCTGGAAATTTTGATAGGTTTTTTTTTTACTACAGCTCTCAGAATCGCCCACCCAGCATGGCCTTCTCTGTGTGTTATGACTCCTGCCGTTTGTTTACATAATCTTGGCTTTAATTTGCACCTCTACAAAGCCTGGAAATTTTGATAGTTTTTTTTTTACTACAGCTCTCAAAATCGCCCACCCAGCATAGCCTTCTCTGTGTGTTATGACTCCCACTAAAAAAAAAACACATATGCTTTCACCCTAAAATAATGTACTGAAGGAAGGACACTTGCAACTGACATCAATAACTGTATTTCTGTTCACTTTCCAGACACGTTTGCCAGCAAAGTGGCAGCCACGCAAGATCAATACGCCGACGCTTCCATAGGCAACGTCACTGGTAGCAATGCTGTGAATGTTTTCCTGGGGATCGGCGTGGCTTGGTCCATTGCTGCCATCTACCACGCAGCCAACGGTGATACATTTAAAGTTGAACCAGGCACTCTGGCTTTCTCCGTCACCCTCTTCACTATATTTGCTTTTATCAGTGTCGGCGTGCTCCTCTACCGGCGGAGACCGGAGATCGGAGGTGAGCTGGGCGGGCCACGGACTGCCAAGATTGTGACCTCAAGCCTCTTTGTCCTCCTTTGGCTCTTGTATATATTTTTTTCATCTCTGGAAGCCTACTGCCACATAAAGGGCTTCTAAAAGAACTATTGGAGATAGTATCTATATGTATCTATAGAGAGAGAGAGAAAAAGATATAGGTATATAGATATAGAGCTAATATTATTGAACAGAGGAAGAAAAGACATTTGCCATGTTCTCACTTATCTACTGATGGAATGTAGCTTTGCTGTAGGAGCTTGAAATCTGCAGGATTCTTCACCAGGGGCAGCATCATAGAAATGGAGGCATGGACGCAGGGCCATCTTTGAGACTCAACTGACAAGATCATGGTCGAGTTACTTTATATTTTCCCTATCCCCAACTGTATAAGGATCAATCTGATTTCAGTGGGGGCTGATGGAAGCAGCCAAAGGCCACCTTTAGCTATATTGCAGTGGGCGCAGGACTTAAAAGGGAGGGGTTCTTGACTTCCGTATTAATATCTTTGTTGCCTTCTTCATAATTCAAGAACAAGCCGAATCATCACCCTCAAAGAAGCGTGTGAGTCTGGAGTGACCTTTGATACCCAAGGGATGTTCAACCGCATGTTGTTTTGCTTTGGCAGGAGGGGGGGGTTACTGTTTGCGGGAGGGCGTTGGGATTTTGTTTCTAGTTTTGTTTTTGTTTCACTTGGGCTTCCCTTCCTTTATCATCCAGTGTATTAAAAACTACCTTATGTTGTAATATCATTCAAAATCCTTACCCCCCTTTTTTTTTTGGATATCCTTGGTTTAAAAAAGAAAGAAAGAGAAGATTGCTATATATTCCTCCATAATGCAAAAAAGAGAGCCTCTTTCTCAAACAAGGTTTAACCAGCAACTCCATTTGCTCCAAATCTGAACTACAAACATGTGCCCAAAGTCCTAACATCTGCCTCCTGCTTTATTATTTGTGGTTGCTCTGACACGTGGTGTCAGATTAAGTTCCATTTCCTCCTGTGCCCTACCCACTCTGCCAGTCTTTGCTGCTGCGCTCCTCCTCATTACTCCAGTTTGGGAATGCTCTCATGGTACTTGTAACACTTTTGCATGAATGAAGCAAACCATAATCTGTAATATAGCAATGAATAGCGATAGTCCCTTCGGTAATGGCTGTTGAAGAGGCAAGTGTGTTTTTTTTCCTTTCACAGCTTTTCCTTTTTGGGGTTTTCTTTTTTTTTTTTTAATTTATTCTTTTAACAAGAACGGTAAGAGGCAGGAAACAGTTCGTATTCTACGGCTCTGCATAAGTTTCTGAAGAAGCAGTGACTGAGAGCTGGTGGAGAGGTGTGTACATTTTAAAGGGAAGAATTTGTGTGGGACGCATCATGGGGAGGCCATTTTAGAAAGGAATGGGGCTGCCAGCCTGGCTTGGGAGTGAAGACAACAACCTACATAGAAGCTGCTAAAGGTTGGGAAGGTCTTGTTTTATTTCGTTTGGGCTTTGGGCTTACAGTGCTCAGAGTCTCGATGCTGGCTGAGAAATTCTGGGAACTGGAGTCTCCAAAACTGACTTTTCTAGGTTCCGGAAGCTATTGATAGCAAGTCATCTCACAAAATCCTACCAACCTAACCAGCCGGTGGTTTTTAGGGGCTCTGGCACATCCCCTGCTCTGCTGTCACCCATGGCTTGAACCCAAGACTTTCTCCATACAAAAGCATGCACTCTGCCACTGAGGAGGCAAGTCCTGCGTTGAGACCAGTCTAGGTGGACCAAGTGGGGCAAAGCGTTGCTCATGCTAAGCATAACTATCTGGGTTGAGCCCTAAATGAACAGAAATACCCTCCCATCTTCCCACTTCTAACACATCAATTTTCACCCATGTATTTTTATGCTGCATTGGCTCTTGTCTTCAAGAGCGAATGCCAAATTCTTGGTGTCTCTGTAATTATTATTCTCTCTGCTGCAGCTCAGTGGAAACGTGCAGGCTAATCTGTTCATCCTGAAGGGCACCTTGAAAATAGAACCATTCATATATAGTCCCTTCAGGTGGATTTTAAAACATTCCACCATCTGCTGTTCTTCAGAGCAACAGAATGTCCTACTTAGAAATAGTGGCATATTTTGCCTAGTCCAGCAGTGAATGCATTTATTCCCTAGGAATTGGAGAATTAACTACTGTTATTTATTGCTTGTTTATGGTTGGCAATGTACTCAGTGCTATACAATGCACAGCAAAGTACCCTAAATGACTGTTGGTTTTGGAAATGTCATAATCCTGGTACCATACAAGTAAACTATCAGAAGCTGCATCTTCTGTCGCTCTTTTGGTTATTTATTTATTCTTTCATCCTCCTCTTTTCTCCCATCATTTAGCAGATTTTTTTTTCTTTTTCCACGCTCACATCTGGTGCTCAATGGAAGGAGGAAGCCATCAGAAAGTGGCCAGAGTGAGAAAAGATGGCCTCTCTTGAGAGGCTGTGGGATCAGGTTGGTGAAATTAGTGACATAGGGAGATGGTGGGGGTAGGACCATAGACAAACAGCGAGATGTCTGAACAGGGAAATGGCAGGGAATAGATTTGGGGCCAAATTATATATTACAGATCGTCCATCAACCCAAAATTCATTAAGTGTCCTATGGATGTAAGTCGACCTTTATGACTGACCATCCAGACAAAGTGCATGTTTCTTTCCCAGTGGCCAGTCACAAAACACAAAACAGTAAGCTATGAGAAATGTGAACATTTCCTGCTGCGAAAAAGCTCCTGCTGTGACAATCAGACATATTCAGTATTGAAGAAATTCTCTTTTATAATCACAGGCTATCTGTAACATACTGTATAATTTCATCTTTAGATGCACTCCCTTGGGAGCATTGTGTCGCAATTGTATCATAGATTATAAAAGGCCAGTAACTGAGAATCCTGACTGGGCCAACTTGGAACTCTTTGTAGGGAAGGAAATAGGTATCCAAGGCCAGACGGGAGGAGCTGACCAATGAGGCGACTGAACTGTCACAATAAAAAGAGGGAGTCGGGAAAATAAAGCTGTTGCAAAGATGGGCATTTCTATCCTAGCAACACCGTAGATGGGTGTGTCCGTGGCTGTCTTGAGTTTGTAGACATTTCCAGGAGTGTATTTCTAAAGCTGCTTCTGATAACAGTGAGCTGAAGCTGCTCCATCCCTGGCCATGTGGAAGGGAACACTATGGAGAGAGTGCAGATCTTCATCCCCTGTCTCCATGGCCTCTTTAATTGTAGCCTCCTTTTTCAGTAGGAAGTCTGTGGCAGTAAACACACCTTAGAGAGAGTGAACTAAGAGGATCTTTGCAAAATGGAGGAATTGCAGATTGCAGGAAGGACAAATCCAGTCACTGTGTCAATTCCCTTTGGACAATATATCCATGCTTAGGAGTGTTATGGAGACACTAAGAGCTGTGGATCCGTCTAGTCCCAATGCCATCTACCTATTCTGACTGGCAGTAAATCTGTAGGGCAGGAATGGAGACCTTGTGGCCTTCCAGACATTGCTAGACTGCAGTTCCATCAGCCTCATTCCATCCCAGTGTTCAAGGCTGATGTAGATTGTAGTCCAACAACGTCCAGGGGTGCAGCTTCCCCTGCTCTTACTCCGTGGCAGAGGCGCACAACTTCATCATGGCTCCTCCAGTCTTCCACCTTTTAAAAAGAGTGTAAATTTAAATAAAACAAGGAGACTTCTCTTGTTTTGTTTTGTTTTTTTACAAAAGTGGGGAGAGCTCCAGGAAGGCTGCAAACATACCCTCAGGGAACTGCTTCACATCTACAGGTCACTTAATTGCCATCTCAAGGTCTGAGCCACTGAGCTATGGCTATGAAATGCATTGTTCATGGCATTCTTTGCGTCAAAGAGAAAATGACAGAATTTATAAAACACCCACTCATATTCCTTCTGTCAAACCAGCTAGTAACAGTATCTTGAAGCATTATTTGGACCTCATTAATTCCTGCAGAAGAGGAGAATCGTAAACCACTTCTACGTATTTTGTACTTGGAAAAGCCTGAAAAGGATTGGCATAAATCAGAATTGACATTGATTATTATAATACCTGCATACTAGATTGACAGTCCCAGGTTTTCTTCTCTTAGCATAGTCCACCTGCACATATGGATATTGACTGCAGATTTTTATTTTATTTTTTAAAAAAGAAGAAAATGGTGTGTGAATCCACTTTATGAAATCAAAGGAAGGTAGCAAAGACTACTTCTATATAGGTCAGAGTAACAGAAAACAGAAATCTCTATCTGTAGTTCAGCCGGGCGGGAACATCGGTTGCATAGGACAGTTCTGTAAACATCAAGGGAATAACACACATTTGCTACAGTATGAATCATCTAATCCTGCCATTGTTGTATGGCTCTATAGAAGATGCAGGAGTGGGGATTGCAGGATGAAGAATTTTTGCTTGTGCCGAATTACAGACCACATACTAGGTTTCTGATCTGTGTATGCAGTCGAGCTCCTTTAAAAGTAGTGGTAATTTGGCAATTGTTGGAACATGACCACTGGCCTCCTCTCCAAGAATGTCTCATGGGTGTAGGGGAAGAAATGGTTATACCTCGCCCATACTCCCAAGACCTTCTCTGTTTATTTCAATGAAAAAAACAGCTGTGCATGCACAGTCATTTATACCTGTGTGGAACGTCTCTGCTGAAATGAGTGATGGACACTGTGAACATAAATTGCTATGTGAGGCCATTCTTCATTACCTGTGATTTCAGAATTTAACTATGAATGGCCCAGTTTCTTCATAGTTCTTTCTTGCCTGATTGAAAAATAATCAATTAAAGCATCACATCATGTAGTAAAAAGAATGGGGGTTACACTCGATTTGTGCTGATTTTCAACAGTCTATGGAATGCTTGGATTGTGAGTTTTTCTTTTTAAAATAAATGAATATTTTTGTTTTCCTAAAAATTGTTCTTTGACTTCTGCAGGTTTTTTGTTTCTTTCCAGTTTGATTTCATTTGGTTGGTTTGTTGTGGGGTGGGGGAAGAAAATAAAGCAGTGAATTGGGTTGTTCAGGGATATTATTATTAATGATATTATGATTATATTTGTGTAAAATTATTTCATTTCATCTGTTTGTTTTCTTTCATTTTTATTTGTGTGTATTGTGCACATAAACAGAGAGGAAGTGAGTGCACTAATTGTGATCAATGGCACACTGAGGCACAAAAAATAAAATGTATAATTGGTTCTGATTTGAAGATTATATTCCTGCATTTTCCCTGTACAATGTCTCATTTCTTCTTCCATTGCCTCCTTTCATTCATTTTGTTTGCATTGTTAATTGGTATGTTTCTTCTAAGGACAAGGAACATAATGGACCTCTAGAAATTCTGGATCCCTGTGCCAATTATTAAAGGCAGGAATACAAGTCATAATACCTATGCATAATACCTATACATCTCCAAATAATAAACATGCACAGAGTTATTCATCCATTTTCCCCCAATACCTATCCACTTATTCTATCAAAAAACACTTCCAGAAGAATAATACACATTGATAATGTGTAGAACTTTGTGCACATGAAAATATCAAATTAGTATTCATTTATCTCTCAAAACTAGGAGTTTTAACAGTAACATTGTTGTCGCATATGAGAAACTTGTGACTCCAGTTTCACAGAGGAGCAGTGAATCTGTTACAGGTTTTATTCTGAACAATACAGGAACTACCCAATGTTTTAGGGAGTTAAAATTCAGCATTTCAGATAACTCCCTTAAACAGCATATTAAAGCTGATACTCAACTGATACACACTTCTTTTCAAGAAACTTGCCAACAAGTCCCAAAATATGTTCCAAAGCTCAGATTCCACACAAAGTTTGTGTTTTAATAAGCTAATTTTGGAAAAGGTTGTTTTAATTTTTCACTGACATTTCAATGTAATCAGACTAAATATTGAGCTTTTTTTCAGCTCTAATTCCACCTCTTCTATTACCCCACATTCAGTGGCTATCACTCTGCTGTGTTTTCAGCCACCAACATCCCGTACAATAAGAGAAATTGGCAGAGATAGATTCTCAAATTAGGCCTAAGCAAAGTCCCAGAATTGATGGCAGTGGCTTTCCATCCAAGAGGAACAGAAGCAGAAATGTAGTCAAGAACAGGCAGGCAAGGTTCAAAGACAGGTGAGTACTCAAAGCAGGAAGAAGTTACTCATACAAGATCAGAAGAGCCAGATGCAGATGCTATGTCAAAAAATCAGGAAAGGACAAAATACCAAGTCAGAGGAAAGGGAGTAGGTATTCCTCATACAACAGAAAGAAGCTGCTGAAAATGAGCGATGAGTTCAAAAGCTATAGCTTTCTCTAGCCTGTCAGGCATGGATTGGTTCTTGGTGTCTTGCCAAAGTTAAGGCAAGAGTCAAAAGTGGAATCAAAGTACTTTTGGCATAGAAGTTAAGGTGTCTGAGCCCTAATTCATTCTAGCACATTACAGAAGATGCATTCTTACCACTCTCCAGAACTAGGATAAGTTACCTTAGGGTTACTTTTAAAGATAAATATGGTGGCATGCTAAAATCATCCATGCCCAACAAGTAGGATCCAACTAGTGCTTCATTATGAATACTTTGTGCATATTCTTTCATTAGCTGTTTTTTTCTATTTTATTTTAAAAATTAAAACAAACAAAAACAAAAACAGCTAATAACACATAACGAAAATATATTAAAAATACAAGTCGTACCCCCTCCAGCTGGGTCATTTGGGAGTTACAACCATTTTTTCCCTTTCCAATGGAGCCCCTTCCAAAATTGCATTGATTCTTCTGAAGTTATATTCCTTCCCCTTTATTAATATGTAATCAATACTTTTTCCCTATATATCTATAAATACATTCTTACTTCTCAACCACATCTTAACCCCTTCCAAAATTGCATTGATTCTTCTGAAATTATATTCCTTCCCCTTTATTAATATGTCATCAATACTTCTTAAGTCAAGACCCCACTGTATATCTATAAATATATTCTTACTTCTCAACCACATCTTAAAATGATGGCTTATCATTAATAACCTCTCTATATCATTCCTTTAAATGAAATGCTTACATTGTTTTCCAGTTCCTAGCTACAGTTAATCTTGCTGCTGTTAAACTGGAAATTAATTCTTTAGTTATCCAGTTACATTGCTCCCTATCAAATATTGATAAAAGCACTATTTTAGGGCATGCCTCTAAACTTAGTTACTTTGTTTATCCCCTTAAAGACCAATTGCCAACATTTCAATATATTCTTATATTCCCATCATGTATGAAAATGGCTACCTATCTCCTGATGACTCTACCAACACAACTTGGAATATTTAATATATACAGTATTTGATTCATTTTCACAGGCATTAAATACCATTTCCAAACTAGCTTATAAAAAGTTTCCTTTATCCTTACATACATAGCTTTCAGTAATCTTAGGATTTTGATACTTAGCTTTCAGTAATCTTATTCCAAATTAAAAGCATATTTTTAAAGAAAGTATTTTCAATATTTTTAGTATGTTCTTATTGTATTACATAAAAAGAATATTTTGGGGATTCAGATATAATTCTGTTTCCATATTCAGTCATATTAGTTTATTGTGCAGAGATATAATAGGAAGTGTGTGTCTTATTTGATGGGGTATAAAATGTAATCTTAAATTAGGAAGTCCCAGGTATCCTATTTTTTAAAATGTATACCGTCTCTTACTAATCAATTTTATCTCCATTATAAAATTTGTTAATTTTGTATTTAACAAATCACATTTTGCCAATATTTTAACTCTTCTTCATTTATCTTTATCAGTAACATCATAAATAAAAAAGATATCATATCTTCATTTTGCATACCACTAATCTACCAAACCATGAAAATCCAATTTTCCTAAAATCATCTAACTTTTTTTTTTTGCTTCAGTTTATTAAAATTCCCCTCTTTCAGTCTTTCTAAACTTATTGGAATATTTATACTTAAATGTTTAATAGACTTTCAAATATTAATAAGAAATTCTTTTCTAATTATTTCCATTTAATTTTCATGGTAATTAAACATAATCGCTAATTTCTGCCAATTTATCTGCAACCTTATTATCTTTCCAAACTCTTTTGAATACAACTTTACCCTATCCATAACCTTTAATGGGTTTTCAAATATTAATAAAGTATCATCAACAAATAACTTAATTTTAACTCTGTCTTTAGTATCAATACCATAGATTAATTTATCTTCACTAATAACATTGAATGGCAATTCTACAACTAAAGGAAACAATATTGGGGAAAGGGAACATCCTTGTCTCGTACCACAGCCTAGAGATATTAGTTCTGTTAGTCCATCATTTACTAATATTGCTACAGTATTTTCTGAATATAATTGATCTATCATACTTATAAATTGTTTCCCAAAGCCTTAATTATCATTTTAATGTTGGCCATTCCACATAATCAAATGCCTTAAAAATGTCACCCAGCGTAGACCTTTGGTCTAGAAGGGCAGGATAGAAATCCAATAAATAAATAATAAATATCTAGTGAAATTATTCCCATCTTCATCTTTTGTTTTATTACATTTATTTTATTTATCTTCTTTAATATGTTTGGCAAAGATATTGTTCATTTTCTTTGCTAATACTGCTGTAATTACCTCAGCATCTTGATTTATTAAGGAAATAGGTCTATAGGCTCCAGGGTCAGTTGGATCCTTATTCGTTTTTTTTAATTAATATAATTAATGAATGTTTTCAAGATAATAGGATCTTTTCACCTTTAATAATTTTATTTAAAAGAAACTGTAATTTGGGTTACCAACATTGTTGTAAACATTTTATAATACCATTGTCCCAACCCACCCATTCCTGGAATCTTTCCTGCATTTAATTTATTAATTCTTTCCTCAATCTCCTCTAATCAGTTGTTCTATTAAATCTTTATCCATATCTTGAAGTCTATTCTCCATATTTTAATCAGTATATTTCCTAATTCTTCCCAAAGAAAGCTTTCCCCCATATGTAATTTTTGATAAAAATCTTTAAAAACTTCCAATCTCTCCTTCATCAAATTACACATTTTGCCCCTTTCTTTTTTAACTACTCCAATAAGACTTTTGGCTTTATAATTCTATGTGGCTCTAATTAGCATTCAGAACTTTTTATTACTAAATTTTTAAAAATTCTCTTTTAAAATATATTAAATTTCTCTGAACTGTATCAATTATATCTTAGATCATCTTAGAACTGATACTGCCTCATTCATTTCCTCGTATTTATAAGATGCTTCTGTCATTATCCAACATATATTTTCTTTCCAACAAACCTGTATCATCCTTAACCATTTTCATATGTTTTTTCTTGATTTCATGTTTGATTATATGATTCCCTCATGATAATTCCTGTGTATCACTATTTTCATAGTGTCCCATATAGTACCCTGGCTGCAGCCTTCTCTGTGATTTCCCATTTTTCAATTATTTATCTGTTTTATCTATTATATTCTCTTGCTGAAATATACTAGTATCCATTCTTCACCTTTTGGCTTGTTTATAATCACATTTAATTTTAATATGCATATCCAGTGAAGTATGATCAGTTACTTTTGCTGTACCAACATCTGTATTAGCCACTGTTGAAATCACAATTTTGATACAATTATAATCACATTTAATTTTAATATGCATATTCAGTGAAGCATGATCAGTTACTTTTGCTGTATCAACATCTGTATTAGCCACTGTTAAAATCACAATTTTTGATACAATTACTCGTTCTATCCTAGAGTAACTTTTATAAACTGAAGAATAGAAAGTACAGTAAATTAATTTTCATCTTTCATCACTCTCCAAACATCTCTCAAATCAGTTCTCCTTATCATTCTATTCAATATTGTATCATTATTAATTTTCTTAACTTTAATAGGATTTGATTTGTGCTTCTCTTTATTCATAACCTCATTAAAATATGTCATTATTACAAGCCCCTTCCTTATCGCTTCTAGTTCTTTAAACACTCCCTTTAAATAACTATCTGGTTTTATATTTTGAGAGTAAACATTAATTCTCCCATTGGTTTTCGTAACATGATATATCTACTTTTGCTATCTTTTATCATTTTATTCACTTTAAAATCACATTTCTTAGAAGTGATGATTGCAATCCCTCTCCACCTTGAATTTCCATTGGCTTTCTCATAAATACTAGACCAACTCAGTTTAAGTTCATTTATACCTTCTTTTGTCTGATGAGACTCTTGTAAA